GCCCCCAACACGCCCCACAAAATGCCCGGAGGCCGCAACACAGCCTCAGACCGCTCAAAAACGCACCCCGTGAGGGCCCAAAGCGGGGGGGAACAATAACGTTCCTCAAGTGTTTCAAAGTGTTCTGCTTCATAGCCTCGGCTCCTCACTACCCCGGAAAATTTAAGACGCCCCAAAGTTTGCTCCCAGGAGGCCGAAAACGCGCCCAAGAGCGCGCCAAGACGGCCCAAGAGAGCCCCCTGACGGCCCCAGAGGCGTCCAAGACGGGCCCAACGAGCAACAGGAGATCCCGAAGAGTCGTCGACATCGCCGTCTGCCATCGTGAAAACCATCGTCAACATAAAAGTACCAGCACCAGCACAAAGGCCCCCATCTCTTACACAATCATCACCACGACCCCCCACGCCATCGTCGCCATACTCGTTCTCCTCGACGTACGAGTGAACGTCATCACCGTCGCCGTCGTCATCATCGGCATCACCAGCGTTGCTGCAAACACTGTCAACAACACGAACATCACCACAACCCGCAACACCATCATCGTCACCATCACGAAGCCCCATCCCCTTCAAAAACAAAAAACTGCCACCGCACGCGATCGCACCAGCATCTCCATCACCACCACTATAGGCATCCTCGCCAACGCCTCGACACCGCATCAGCATCACGCGCCTCCGATCACCGCGTCCCGATGTATGGTCACCTCCCTCGTCATCGTCATCAAGAGCGCAATCGCTTTCACGTTGCTCGATATCCACGCTACCATCATCAACGTAATCGTTGCCAGCCCCGCCTCATAATCAGCACCTATACGACCACCTTTCGGGTGCTAAGGAGGTTGTGGGGGGGAGAAGAGGGGGGGAACCAACATCTGACTCAATCGGTATCACTATCGATCTCACTCAACGGGACACCACGGGACACCAGGGAACAGTTGGCGATCTCACTATCGATCTCACGATCGATCTCACTCAACGGGACACCACTGTACACCACGGGCCACCACTGGACTCCGCGGGACACCTCTCGATCTCACCATCGGTCTCACTATCGAATTCACCCAACGGGACACCATAGGACACCTCGGGACACCACATCGATCTCACTATCGATCTCACTCAACGGGACACCAAGGGACACCTGTCGATCTCACGATCGATCTCACTATCGATCTCACCCTTTGGGGCACCACGGGACACCACGGGACACCTCGGGGCACCACATCGATCTCAGTATCGATCTCACGATCGATCTCTCGATCGATCTCACTATCGATCTCACTAACGATCTCGCTCAACGGGACACCACGGGACACCGCGGGACACCGCGAGCCACCGCCGGACGGACGGACGGACGGGCGGGCGGGGGGGAATCGTTTGTCTTGACTTCGCCCTAACAACGGCGGGCACCACGGGGCACCACGGGACGCCACGGGACCCGGAGGGATATCGCCGGACACCTCGGGCCACCGCCGGACGGGCGGGAGGCAGACAATCAGTTGTTTTGACTTCGCCCTAGCAACGGCGGGTTCAGTCCTCTCGCGCGCCCATGCAGCTTCGCCCCGCCCGCGCGCACGACACAAACGAAACGAAACGATTTTCCGGCTGGGGGTCTCCGTTCCACTGCGATCTCACCTCCCAACCTCCGATCAGCCCCGATATCGCGACAACCACGTCCATCGCTGCCACCATGATCTGCACCATGCGCCCCCGATCCAAGATGGATCTCCTTACTCGCGACCATTGTCGTCGCCGCAACCGTGCGCATCATCATTCTCACTGTCGCCATGAACACCAGCGCATTAATCCTGAACATCGCCGTCGTCATCGCCATCGCCACCGTCATCGCCATCATCACCATGTACAGCCTCGCCATGACCATCGCCATCGTCATCAGCAGAATCGAACGCTCCCGCACGCACGCCGATGCCAGCACACGCCTCGCGATGCATGTCAAGATTGATGAAAAGGCACGATGGTGACGTCGACGAAATGCGCGCCCAACCGCCTCCGAAACCATTCGGGCAAGTAGTCGTGGGCAATGGCGAGCAATAGTGGGCAAGAGTAGGTAGTAGTGAAAGCAAAATCAATCAAAGTTATCAGGCGCGGAGCTCCCCGCATGTCAACCTCAGTTTCTGACGCTACTTGCCGCGCGTGTCTGAACGCGAGAGAATATCGGCCTGACAGCGTTCGGCTTGAGAGCGAACCACAATTTGCGATGATGAGAGAGAACTGCGGCGCACCAAAACGCCAGTTCGTTTGAGAGCGAGCCGCAATCTGCTCCAGCAAGAGAGAAAAGCACTGCTCCGAACGAGCGTTTCGCTTGAGAGGGAGCCGCGATCTGACCTCGAACGGGCCCGCGGTCACCCTGGCGGCCCCCCCTGCGGCGCGCGCCGAAACGGTGTGTCGCTTGCGAGCGAGCTACAATCTGACCGCCAACAGGCCCGTAATATACCCCATGGCGGCGCCAACGCAGCGCTTCGCTGGAGGATGAGCCACGGCCTGGCCGCGAACGGGCCCGCCATATACCCCCTTGAAGTGCGCCGAAGCAGCGTTTCGCCTGTGAGCGAATCGCAATCTGCTCCAGAGAAAAAGAGCTCGGGGGCGTCGCCAAAGAATTTCGCTCGAGTGCGCCATAGTCTGACTGCGAACGGGCCTGCGATGCACCTCCTGGCGGCTGCCGCTAAGAGCGCGCCACAGCAGCGTTGCGTTCGAGAGCGAGCCGCAAACTCCTCGGATGAAGGAGGACTCGAGTGCGCCAAAACGTCATCCCGCTTGAGAGCGAACCAAGATCTGACCACGGTCGGGCTCGCGATGCGTCCCCTGGCGGCTCCGTCTGTGGAGCGCGCCAGAGCCGCGGTTCGCTTGAGAGCGTTCCGGTGCGATCAAGACACTTCGAACCAGGTGCGGGGTCTCGTAAGCTTGCTCAGCGTCGGGCTTTACAGTTTGCAAAACGGCGTTCGCGATGGCTCCGCGGTAGCCGCAGGGTGTGAATATTAATCGCATATACCAGGCCTCTTCAAGTGGAACTACACAGACCAGAAAGGTCACGTCGCTCACCTCGTTTCCCCTTGCCTTGATCAAGCATGGCCCAGGAGCAACGCATGTGAACAACAAGCCAAATGTCCAATACGACACGTTTGGCGGCCAAGAAATGTCTGGCCCCTGTTCCTGACAACCCGTGCGCGGATCTTTCACTGGATTTTCAAATCGGCAAGGGCGCAGGCGGGAAAAACGAGGCCATTAGAGAGGCAATCATATGTGCTCAAACTCCCTCGCAGGCTAGTCCGCAAGGGTAGGAACTAGCTGGTCTGAGCGAGATCGGTAGTCTAGGAGGAGGTTCGGAGGCGACGGCCACTACACAGGTCAGGGCAACTGTTTGGGGCTTCTTGGCCTCTTGGGTCCTCTTGTGGGCGTCTGGGGTCTTCTTGGGCTGTCCAATATCTTCCTCCTGCTCCCCCTCTTCCTCCAGCCTCCTCCTGCATCGGCTCATTTCCGTCCCCATCACTCGAAAGCCCGAAATTCTGGACACCTGAGGATCTCCAACTGTGACCAGCTAGGCCCTCCCCAAATGAAACGAAATCGGCCTTGTTCAAGGGGTCGGCGGATGTGGCGTAAGCCTATCGACTCAATAAATAAATGAAAATGGAAGTGGCTAGGGCTGGAAACACTGGCAGTGGGTGAAGCGAGCCAGAAACACTAGGGATGCGGTCGCCAGGGCTGGAAAATAAAGGGAAACTGGCCAGGGCGGGAAAGAGTGGAAGGGCTGGCACCAGTCACTTCTTCCAGCTTCCATGTAGCGGCCCAGACATGCGACGGCCTCGACTTTCTCAATTCGGAGTCCCTGGAGGCCTCCACCAAGAACAGTCTCCTCCCCAGACCTTCGACGTCCCAAGTTTTCCCGCCACGTCGACCCCCAGAGGTCTGGACCCCTTTCCCAGGACCAACTTTTCATCCCGAATCCTTTTCTGACGGCCTCTGGGGAGCCCCCAGAGGTCGAAGACGGCCAGTAACCTCGATTCCGTCGTGACGTGTGCCGGTGGCGGCAACTTTTTCTCCTCGGATCTCCAGGTCGTTGCCAGGGTAGTCCACGCCGTCCTCCCTCAGGCCGCAGCGCGCGGTCGTGGTGCTGACGAGCGCCAGCGGCACCTTTGGCCGCCCAAAACGGAAACATGGGCACACGATGGCCAGCAACACATGTTGCCCCAAACTGGCAGCGGCCGCTGTTCGATAGGCGGCCTTCTGTCTCAAAGGGACAACGTCCGCGGCGACGCTGACAGCGAGCCCTGCTCAAAATGGGCATGAACTGATGTCGGTCTTCGTGCCCGTCATGATTTTGACGCAACGTCGACCCCTGGAGGTCTCGACCCAGTCCCTGGGACCGGTCTTTCATCACGAGTTCTCGACCCAGTCCCTGGGACCGGTTTTTCATCACGAGTCGTTTTTAGACGGGCCCCAAGGGCCCCAGGAGGCCGAAAATTGTGAAAAACCTTCCGTCCTGACTTTTTCAGGAGTCGAGGGGGTCTGGGAAGATACCCATACCGCCACTCTCTGGGGCCTCCCCTGGGGCGCGCTCCGACCAGGCTCTCGAGGCGAAGCCAGCGCCGTGGCGACGAGGGCGCCCCCTGGGAGGCCCCGGAGGCCGACGGTGGTAAAACAGATTGTCCGCCGTGACTTTTTCGCGACCCGAGGGGGTCTGGACTTCCGTACCCTTCCCAGACCCCCGACGTCGCGATTTTTCAACGTCGACCTCTGCAGAGGTCTGGACCCCTTCCCTGGGACCGGTTTTTCATCCTGAGTTGTTTTTTGACGGTCCCGGGGCCCGGTGAGGGCCCCTGGAGGTCGGGATTAGCGAAAAACCTCCCGTCGTGGTTTCTGTCACGGCGCGAGGGGGGTCTGGGTTTCGATCGCCCCAAGCGGGGAGCGGCGCCGCGTACGCGGGGGCCACGGCTGGCGCGGGGGGTGCGCTGGAGGCCTGCGGCCGCGGGCGGAAGAGCCCCGTCAGCAGCTCCCGGAGGGAGCCGAGCACCCCCTGCTGGAGGTCGCCCTGTTCGGTGGGGGTGCCAGAGGTGCCCCTGGGCTTAGGTCGGGCATGTCCTCCTACGGGCGGATCTGGGCTATTTCTGGGGTATGTTTGAATTTTCCTCCTGTGGAGGGACAAGCCCGACTTAACCCTGGGCCTCAAGGTTAGCAGCGACAAAAAAAACTGGTCTTACGCGCGATGACGTAGCGACCTTACGCGGGGGCTTGCGCTGGCCGAACACTTGTAGAAAAGCGCGTTCCGCTACTCGCAAAAGTAGCTACTCGCGAATGGCCAGTATCCGCCGCGTGGAATGCACGATCCACTACACAGGGGAAGCCATGCTTTCGTTCGGACGTTTGCGAGTAGGCACTTTGCGAGTGGAGCCCGCTCGGTGAAATACGGTGGGGGCATTGGATAAGGAAACCTTCGATAAGGAATCCAGGGTCTGGAAGCCAGTGGAAAGCCAATTGAGGCTTGGCCATGGATATCAGCGCCGCCCTCATCAGATAAGGAACCCTCCAGGGTCTGAATCCTCCTGGGCACGTTCCTGAACGAACGCCCCCACCGTAGGGGTTGGCTAACAAGGGGGATGAACAGCGACACAAAACTCGGATGTCCGCGCGGATTTCTCGGGTCGGCGCTGTGCCCCCCCTCCCTGGCGCGCGGAGCGCAGGGGCGGCGCCAGAGGCGCCGCCAAGGGGGTCCAGCGCGAATCCGAGAAATCCGCGCGGACCTCCGAGTTTGTCTGTTTACGTCATTGCTCATTCCCCTGAATTGAGCAGGGACCGGACCGTCCCGGCATTCCTATAGGCCTACCGCGAAATTTTCTCAGAACCCAGAAATGTTCTAAGAACAACACAATGTTCTCATAACATATAAGCCCGATGTGTCAAAACAAGACAGACTCAGCCAGAAATGTTCTAAGAACATTTCGTGCAAACCACAAAAAGTTCTTAGAACATTCTTTGGTGGGCCTATGGGCGAGCCGGGACGCTTCGCCACTGCTCGACTGAAGGTGCCCCCAGCTTCTCGCTCCACGTTGGAGCCCTCGGGGCCCTCTGGACCTCGTGAGGGGTGCTCTGGAGGCCGCGGGGGCCTGCTTGGAAATCCTGGGGGCACCTTGGGCCAGGGGCACTTCTGGCAACACCCGACCTGTGGCGGCCCACGCGACGGCGGAGAGATCATCGGGGAACAAATAATGAGACAAGTATAGACTTTCGGAAGTCCGCGCGGATTTCTTGGATCGGCGCTGGGCCCCCCCGGCAGCGCCTCCGGTGCCGCCCCTGGCGCGCCCCGCGCGCCAGGAAAGGGGAGCCAGCGCCGATGCGAGACGTCCGCGCGGACCTCCGAACGTCTATGCTTGTGCCATGTTTTCTTCCTCGAGATCAGGAAGCTCCTTCGGCTCTCCGCGGCCGTCAGGGGAGCGACCAGCGGTGCCGGAGCGCCCGCGTTCGTCACCAGCGGGCGAACCACGCTCCCAGCGGACCAGCCGTCGTGGCGGAGGCCGCTCATCATGGCGAAGGGCATGCCCCCCTTCAGGAAGCACCTACGGGAAGTCGCATCGTGGGCCCAGGCCTCGCAGCCACCAGCGCCGGCGCACACCCAGCAGCACCCCTCGGCGCTCTCCACGCCCTCGTGCCACGCGATGTCGTTGCCCGGCAGATCGTAGTCCTGGGCGACGTCGCCACATCTGGGGCCTTCCTGCTCCGTGATGATGCCAGCGGCGTCCAGCCCTGCTCTTGCCGCCGCGATCGGCGGACCTGCCGTCGCTGTTCGATGCGCCACATAGCACGCGATCACAAGAGAAGCCACCACCTCAGCTCGCACGCAAGGGTGCCCCGTCCCCCAGGCCAGAGTGACCACAGGCGCGCGGCTTGCCCATCGCTGCATGCGGTGCGACAACAGCGGCATGCGCGCCTGAGCTTGCCCCCTCCCCCCCCCCCGAGCCCTCCTCCTTCTCCTCCTCCTCCCCTCCCAGCCCCCAACCTCCCCGAGACCCGCGCAGCCACAGGCCACCCCAGCGCAAGGCCACTCTTACGTACAGCCTGCCGCCATGCTCGTGACAGGGCGCGGCGGAAGCGGCACAGGGCAACAAACCTCCCTGCGGCGCTCCTCCTCCTCCCGCGGCTCGGCCGCCAGCTCGGACTCGACGTCCCCGCCGGAGTCCGTGGCGTTGGCCGGCGAGTAGCCAGCGCGGCACGGCGCAGAGCGCTCGGTGGCCAGCGCCGCCCAGCGCATGCCTCGAGGGGCGCGCCTGCGCGCTCCTCTCCGCCAGTGAGAGGGAAGTGGGGTGTGGGGGGGGCCGGCGACCGCCGCCCGCGGAGGATTCTCGCGAGAGAGTCCAGACCGCCCAGGGGGCCAAAGTGGCTGCGAGGGTCAGGGAGGAGGGGGGAGCCGTGCGTGGCAGAAGGGCGGCCCGCTCAGCTTAGCCGTCCGGAACGGAGAGGGGCTTTGACCAAGCGTTTTGTCAGTGGTTTCCACTTAGGTACTTCGGTGCGCAGCCGAGCTCAACCTGCCTTGCCTTCGCTTTGACCTGGCAGCGCTTCCCTCTGGTTACGAGATTACACTGCAGAACCAACGCGTGATTCCAAACACTTACTGAGCCAAGTTGCTACCCCACAGAGGACGCTGGGAAAGAACGAACATATTTTGGGCCTCAAGAGCGCCTGGGTGCACAGGGAGCGCCAGGAGGACAGCCATCCCTTTCGAACCCGAAGTGGTCCTTGTTTCAGCGTCTTGACTGCACACCAGAGAACACAACGGCCAAACACTAGAACTGAGACCGCCAAACATCCAGTGCAGGCTCGCTGTGGCACCTGTACGTACCTCTCACCATTCCCCTTCGGTGCCACCCTCTTTCGTTCCGTCTCTCCCTCCCGCCTTCACCGTCCTCTCGTCCGCTCCCTGCTGCTTCTCCTGTACCTCTCCTCCTCCTCCTCCTCCTCCTCCTCCTCCTCCTCCTCCTCCTCCTCCTCCTCCTCCTCCTCCTCATCCCCAGCAGTCATCGCCAGGCTAAAAACGCATGGAAGGCAACGTGGAAAAAGAAGAAGTAGGAAAGAGGAAGGGGGTACGGAAAGGAGGAGGAGGGTGCGGAGGGGAAGGGTGACGAGGACGAGGGGTGCGGGGATGAGAGAAGCGGAGGGACAAGGGCGAGGGCGACTGCCTGGAAAAGGGCATGGCCCCTCCGCAAGGAGGGGGGTAAGATAAGACCTGAAACTCACGCCCTGTCCCTCCTGAGCGGCGACAGGCTGCGGCAGCGGCACTGTAGCCAGTACCTCAAATGCAGCTGCAAGCGACTCCAATTGATATGATAGGAAACGTCCAAAGGGAGGGGGGGAAGATCAGGATGCGTACGGAGGGCTTTTCCGCGGCCGCCCCGGCCGGCGGTCCGGAGCACTCGCCGCGGCGAGGGGAGGGCCCTCAAGGCTTGCTCCGCAGGGCCACCTTGCCGAGCAGCACCTCGGGCGCGTCTTGCGCGCCCCACCCCTCGCTCCCTCCTCGCCCGGTGCCGCTCCCCCTACAGGAGGAGGAGAAGAGGAGGAGGAGGAGAAGGAGGAGGAGGAGGAGGAGGAGAAGGAAGAGGAGGAGGAGGAGGAGGAGGAGGAGGAGGAGGAGGAGGCGGAGGAGGTTCACTGCCCATAGAGGGAAAGAGGTCCAGGGGTGAGAGAGGAAAAACGGGGTGGGTCCGCCTATCCAAGGAGGCTTTTGTCAGGCCCCCCCAGAGGTTCCATCCCTCTGGCAGGGCCCCCGACAAGGCGACCCCACCCCCACACAGCGCTAGCCGAACTCTCCAGCTTCGGCTTCGCACTCTTCCCGGGATTTGCGAGCCTGGGCCTCAGCGCGGGCCTGGACAGCCCACAACCCGAGCTCCTCAGCTTCGGCCCGAGTCTCGAACCCGAACGCCTTCAAACAGGCTTCCATGCCGAGCCGAGGAGCGGCCCTTTGCTGCGAGAACGCAGGGAGCCTGCTGGGGGGCCGACCGGCCCCTTCCGCGTCAGCTCCAAAATGATCTCGCCAGCGTTCCCGAGTGGCTGTGGAAGGGACCTGGGGCTCGTCCAGAGCCAGTCCCTCCTCCGTGGGGTGCATGCGCCCACGCAGCCGCTTCCGGACGGTGTACGCCGAGCCGCCAGTGACCCGCCGAGGGCCAAGGCAGGGACTGCAAAGGCCCCGTTGTTTACGATGCACAGCGAACTTGTAGCACGTCGTGCAAAAAAGGATCGGCTCCTGCCCAGCGACACCTGCTTCTAGAACCGAGTGTTGGTTGACCAGCCATGGGCGCCTAGGCCCGAGACCGTAACCTTCATCATCCGCGTCTTCCACGCCACCGTTCTCCCTCTCAGCCTCCACCAGCACCACCCTGGCAGCAGCAGCAGCATCAGCAGCAGCAGGGAGCGGGTCAGCAGGAGGAGAGGGAAGAGGACCAGGGGCATGGCGTGGGGCCTCGGGAGCGGCAGGCAGGTCGACCAATAACCCTGGAGGAACATCAGCCGCGCCAAAATCAATTAAACGAATCGCATCGAGCCCTTGATGGTCTACGACGTTCTCTTTGACACACCGAGTGGCAAGCCTGGCCGTGGCCTTGCACGCTTGCGACGCTAGGTCCAAACAGCCCTCGAGAAACAACACGTCGCTCTCAGACGAAGCCCCGAAACTAGCGCCGAACTTTGCGTATTCATCTGCCGACCTATTTCCTTCCAGCTCGAACTGCGAGAGAATTCCCTCCCGCACCTGTGCCATCGAGCAGTGACTCCTCACGTGCTGAAACTCCAAGGCAGAGAAATCTTCTCTTCCGTGCACTCTCCGCCACAAGTGGGCGCGAGGGTTCGCAACCGACGTCGCTGTGCGCGGGCAGGTGCAGCACGACAGCGTTGCCCTACAATCTGCTAAGACACAGAATTTGCCCAACATCTTCTCCGTCTCGCGCAGAAAATGTGGTCGAAAACTCTGGTGGCACTACGCCATAGATGGCTCCCAAGAACACCCGGTCCGCAGAGAAAGACACAAGACCATCCCGTGGTGCGGAGAGTCGGGGAATCTGGCATTGAGCCCAGACCCATCTGTGAAGACGAACCCTCCATCCAGACGGATCGGCAGCTCGACGCCTGTCCCGCGCAGGGCCCAGAGGGGGTCAAAAACGGGCCTTGAAACGCACAGCCCTGGCTCAGGGAAGACGCCTCTAGCGAATCGTTCGCTCCAGGCTGGAGGGGCGCATGCAACCACGGCCGCAGCCTTGGCAAGCTCTGGTGAGATATTGTCCCGCCTCCAGGCCCCATGGCCAGGGCAGCGGTAACACCTATGATGCAGGGAGCCACGCTCCTCCTGGCAGAGCAAACAAATGTGGGAAACCGTCGCGTCTTGGTCGTGCAACCTCCCCTGCGACCAGTGAGTGCCTGCCACCAGGCCCCGGAGAGAAGACTGCTGATGCTTCTCCCAACCGGGCTCCCAATCACAGAACATCGCCTCGAGAATCGGCCGCCAGAAGATCGGGGACGACCAGCGCCCCCTGTCCTGCAGAGCGAGCGCCCTATTGTCCGAAGCTCGCCTGGCCGAGTGCGCAATCTGGTCCGACACGCAAGCAGGGGAATAAAATTGCAAATCCCACTCCCACCCCAGGTCGTCAACCGCACGCGTCGGGCTCCGAAAACTCCATCCCACACGCTGCGCCGTGAGCACGAGCGCAGCCACGGGGTCCCTACAGGACACCCACGGGCGTTCCTTCGCCGATTGCTCAATGGCGTTTTCGAAAAGAAACTGGAGGACGGCTGTTGGGAGGAGGCCATCCCAAAGCACCTCTCCGTACTGCCTTACAACATCCATCGACGTGATCACCAACGGGTCTCGCTTCCAGCCGCGCTTTGCACAGCTTAGGAAGAGGCCCGTCGACGCTCCGCGAGGAAGCCTGCCTTCCGCCTGCGCCGCTAACACACGAAGCTGGTGCAGACGCGAATCGGCAAGCCCATGCACACAAGATCCCCAAAGCGCGACCGCAGACGGGCCGGCGCGATGCACTTGAAAAATCTTCGCGCCCCCTCTCTGAAGGGCGCGCAGGCGAAGAGCCCTGCGCTGGGCCGAAAGATATCTATCCAGGTGAACGGGCACTCGCCTGAACCTGCCGTCCGTGGCGTCCCCGCCCAAATCTCGGTGAGATTGCGAACGATCCTTCAGCTCCAGTGGCCAGCCCTTGCACAACTGCTCTGCGAGCCCGCTGGAACTAGCAAGAAACCCAGCCTTGCCCCAAGAAATCGGCAAGTCCACGGCCGTGACTCCGTCAACGACCCGGTTAAAAGCTACAGGAAGCTGCTTCGCCACAGTGTCGCGCCCCCCCACCGCGTGGAAGGAGACATCATCGATCACATTTTTGAGCACCACTATCGGTGCCGCAACTGCCGCTTGCTTAAGGAGCGCCAACAACATTAGCTTGGCGAGCGATGTGGCACACGAACAACCCGCAATCACGGTTTCGTTGGCCTCGAAGGGCCTGCTCGTGCAGCCGTGCAGGACGGCGCGGCGGGGAGCCTCATAAACGCAGCACAATGCCCGGAGCAAAACGTCGGGGAATCGCGCATGGGCCGCGGCCGCCCGAAGTTCATCATGAGAAATGTGCTCGTAATATTTCTTTAAATCGAGAAAGGCCGAGCCCGACTCGAGATGCACTAAACGAGCGTAGTGCGACAGAGCATTGTGAAGCCATGCGCTTTTGTCACATGACGTGGCCCTGCTTTGGCCCCAAAAGACCGGCGAGCTGATACCTTCTTCCCAATTCGCGCACTCCCGAAAACGAATCTTGGACCACACCCGGGCCACTAACGGAAGAAGGCCAATCGGCCGCACTCCCCCAGTCGCCTTGTCGAGAAAAACGATAAGCACCCACCAAAGTTCAGTAACTTTGGGGTCCTGCTCCCAGGCGTTCAGAATGTCAGCGAATCGCTGCGCGAACTCTCGCGGCAGCTGTTTGATGACACGGGGATGGAAACCGTCCCATCCGAGGGCCGTGCCCTTCGCAAAATCAGAAAGAGCTCCCAGCACATCATCCGCTGTGATGGGAAGCAGCTCGTCGACGACTGCCCAGTCCCGGGGGTGAGATTCCCCCTCCCGCGATGGCTTGGACCAAATTGGCATCCATTCCTCCAGCAGCGCTTCCGAGGCCTCCTGGCCAGCCAGAGGCTGCGAGCCTTCCTCCGCGCAGCCGAGGGGAGGAGCAGGGTTGGGGTGAGGGCCTTTCGAGAAGCGGTGGGCCACTCGACCTCCCCTCAAAACCGACTCCTGCGCAAACTCATGCCACGATTTCTTGCTGGCCGCTGCATCTGCAGCGACCCGCTGATCACACTCCCGAGCGATAGCTGAAACCGTGGCGGCCCTAGAGGCTTCGTCCTGGAGCAAATTCACCGCGGCGAGGCCCGAGCGACCCTTGAGCCCGGCCTCGCTTGCGGTGCCGAGACAGGCGCCCATGGCGACAATCATCCCAACCAACCTCCCACGAGTCGCCCCCCCATCCGTCTTCAAAGCCAAAAGCTGGCAAACTACACGACGGAACTGCAGCCGCTGAACGGTCGATGGCGTCGACCGCCGCTTTAAAGCACGATCCCAAGTCGCCGTGAGGGGAACTAATGCAAATTTACAGCCATGCTTCCGACCGGAATGCCGACTGATATCGCTGGCTGGGACAGCCTGGCTGGCACAGAGGGACTGCTCGGCAAAATCAAACCATTGCGCCAAAGCCCCGCAGGGATCCCCCGGAAGTTCTCCGGCGCACCACGCCCAAGAGAATCCATGCCGAGGAGAGGGAGGAGGAGGAGGAGGAGGAGGAGGAGGAGGAGGAGGAGGAGGAGGAGGAGAGAAAGGAGGAACAGAAAGAGAAGCCACAACTCCGGGACGAGTCGGGTCCACCGTAGGCTCGATCGAAAAACCAGCAGGAACAACCCGCTGCCAGATCTTCGCCTGTCCCGTCAAACCTCGCACCGCCATCTTCGTCGCCACGTGCGGACCCCTCGGAGTATCGAGGAGAGCTAGAGTAGTGGAGACAAAAGGGAGGAGACAGTGAGACACGGCAAAAAAATCATAGACGTGCTGGTGGCAGGTGGCCTCAGGGGGGCCCACCAATTGAAACTTGAGCGGCGATGCCCAGCCTGTCGCTTCCACGACGTCCAGGCTGATGTTCCAATCGCCGCCGACGAAGGACGGGCCGTCGAGATTCGCGAGGATCTCAGCCAGCTCGCCAAGGATTCCTATGTTCGCCTCCCCTAACCCGTCGTTCGTGACCAGGTAGAGCGAGATGATGTAGACAGGAACTGGCAGACCAAAATTCACCTTCTGAACACAAATCCTGTGGCGCAGCTCCTCTGGAACCCGTTGCACGTGATGATCGCTGCCGAACCGGCTGGAGGTGAGGCAGGCCACCCCGCCCGAGTTCTCGAGCGCGCCGTCGCCAGTGACCAGTGCTGCCGAAGATGCCATCTGGA